CGCGCAGCCCTCCCTCCCCCCCCGTCACTGCTGCCTCTGACAGGCTTGCTCCAGTCTGGGGGAGGGGAACAGGTGGGAAGGCTTCCCACATGCACTGGCTCATGAGGAGTTGCCTCCTCACCCCGTGTAACCGTTGAAAATGTCGGCGGTTACACGTTTACTTGAATAAATGCATTTTAACATCTGTACTGTAAACCCTGTACATGATGGAAACTAGGGCTGTAAACAGGTAACCAGTTAACCTTAACGGATGATGCTTACTGGGTAATGGTTAACAGGTACCCGGGAGCAGCCCCTCGTCTACAGCCAGCTGTGGGCGGAGGCTTGCTCCAGCCCTGCCGGGCCCCTGTGCACGGGGCCAGAAGCAGCAGCACTACGCAGGGCCAGTAGAGACCCTCCTCCTGCTCCCTGTCCGGACTGGAGCACCCCCCTCTACCTCAGGCAGGAGATGCTCCAGCCGGGCTGGTATAGCCTGGCTGGAGCGGCCCCTCCTCCACCCATCCCCTCTTGAATTGGTTAACTGGTTGAACACTATGTTTAACTGGTTAACCAATGAAATGGGACTTTTCATCCCTAATTGAAACCACTTCAAGCCAGGGGGTGCAGTAGCACCCCCAGAACCTCCGGTTCTAGCACCCGTGATGAACTTTAATGGAGTGGCTTTAATGGAGCCCCCTTGTCAATAAAATTACTTATGTGTGAAAGAGTAGACGGGATTGTGCTTTAAGCTCACTATGTCCCTCCAGGGTATCCTGTCTGTCTGTGTGTCTGATAGTCCATATCCTGCAAAGCACGTAACTTTTACCCGTGATTAGCACCTGTGAAGCTGATGGGGTTACTCAACTGCAGAAGCACTTGCAGTATTGTACATTCTCCCCTGATGAGACAAGCAGATCGCTTGATTTATGAACATTTCTGGGGGCTCTTCTTCCTTTCTGTATTACAGTTCCATTCCAGGGCAAGGAGAGAAGCAGCTGTGTCAAGCTAACAAAAGAATAGAGGTGCAGGGCTGAGAGGTAGCTTCAAGAGGCCATCTAATTGGTTAAACACTGGAATCAATTGCCTAGGGTGGTTGTGGAATCTCCATCTCTGGGGATATTTAAGAGTAGGTTAGATAAATGTCTATCAGGGATGGTCTAGACAGTACTGGGTCCTGCCGTGAGGGCAGGGGGCTGGACTCGATGGCCTCTCGAGGTCCCTTCCAGTCCTAGTATTCTATGATTCTATGATTAATTTAGCCTCTGACACGGGGGCAGTTCTAAGTAAACTGAACCATCCCTGTTCTTCAAAATCGCCAATGAGGGGGCTTCCACAGCCTCCCTTAAGAACATGTCCCAGTACTTAATGAGCCTTATTATTAGAAAGTTTTTCCTGACAGCACACCTAAATCTCCCTGGAGTCAATTTACTTCTTGTCCTGTCTTCGGTGGCCATAGTGAGCAATTGATCACTATCCTTACTATGTAAACAATAAGAATCAAGGTCAGTCTATACTAGGTTAAATGGAGATACAGGCAGTCCCCGAGTTACACGGATCCGACTTATGTCGGATCCGCAGTTACGAACGGGGCTTTTCTCGCCCCAGAGGACGGGAGCGGCGGGACGCCCAGATGAGCCGCGGTCCTGCCGCCTGCGTTCTCCGGGGCGAGAAAAGCTGCTCCCCGTCTCCTTGGTCTGCTGGGGGGGAGGGGGGCGCAGCTAGTGCCCCCTCGGAGGACGCCCGCAGCGGGACCATGTGCACAGGCTGGTGTGCAATCCCCAGGCCGAGAAGGACAAGGGATAGGCATGGTCAGGCTGTAGTCCACGGGAAGGAGAGGTCTGTTCCACAGACTAATTCAGCTGACATCGTCAGGAAGTTGTTTTTGGCACTGAGCCTATGATTTTTTTAATTTCCTACCATAGCTTCTAATTTATACCTTCTTGTACCATAATTCCTTTGTATACTTCAGATATCGGTGTATTGTTAACTTGTCCTCTCCCTTGCCACACACGAGTTGTTAGTTAGCCAAGCTGTACCATATGTACATCTTTTTCTAATCTTTCCTCATAAGGGCCTCAGATTCCTCTACAGCAATTGGAATTGTTCACATGTGTGGTTCTCCCACAAGTGAAACTGATATAAAAGTGATGGGGAAACATACTGTATTTATCATATATCTCAATGTCAAACAATCTATTAAGTTATTAACTTCTGGAACATTGTTTTTACTATCATGATTTACTGCTATCTGAGCGAAGAATTCCCAATGTTTGTGGAGGGGAAAAGCATAGTGTTTCTAACAATTCTGAATCTAAGGGGATTATTTGTTTATATTGACATAATAGCAATTTGAACTTCTGTTGTATTTTTATTTAAAGCTGAGTTTTGGGTCACAGCTCGGATGCTATTTGGGGCCATCTGCCTGGAGGCTCAAATCTGATGAAAATTCTCATCTTAGTAGTTTGTTTCAGTAACACATTGAGAGAGACCACATCAATAAATCTTATTTTGCTGTTGAAACTGATCAGTTTCAGCAGCGGCTGACGCCAGTTCCGACTTACATACAGATTCAACTTAGGAACAAACCTACAGTCCCTATCTTGTACGTAACCCGGGGACTGCCTGTATGCCTATCTCGTAGAACTGGAAGGGACCTTGACTCCAGTCCCCTGCCCCCACAGCAGGATCAAGTACCCTCCCTCACAGATTTGCTGTTGAAACTGATCAGTTTCAGCAGCGGCTGACGCCAGTTCCGACTTACATACAGATTCAACTTAGGAACAAACCTACAGTCCCTATCTTGTACGTAACCCGGGGACTGCCTGTATGCCTATCTCGTAGAACTGGAAGGGACCTTGACTCCAGTCCCCTGCCCCCACAGCAGGATCAAGTACCCTCCCTCACAGATTTGCCTGTGATCCCTAAATGGCCCCTCAAGGACTGAATTTACAATGCTGGGTTTAACAGGCCAATGCTCAAACCACTGAGCTCTCCCTTCCCCTCGAACATCTGTGGCTGAGATTGTTACTCAAGTAGGGATGTAAAATCCCGTTTAATTAGCTAACCAGGTTAAACATTAAGTTTAACCAGTTAACCGACTCATTAGAGGTGGGGGGGAGGAGGTCGGGATGGAGTGGCCTTCCCACTGCTCCAGCCCTACTGCTTCTGGCCTCAGGCAGGGCTGCTGGCTCCCAGCCTGCATGGGGCCCAGAAGTGGCAGCCCCCTGTGGGGTGCTCAGAGAGGCTGGAGCAGCCCTCTACCCACGGCGGGTGGTTGCTTTCAGGTACAGGTGAAGTATTACTCGGTAAGCATCACCCATTAAGGGCGAGGCTTACCAGGTAACCGATTACCCGTTAACATCCTTGCACTCAAGCAGACTGCCAAGCTCCAAAACGATCAAAGGAGGAACCCTCGTAAGCTTGAAAGAGGAAGTCCCATCCATGGGTCTGATCCTGCTGCCTCCGAAATAAAACAGAGTTCTGCCACTGGCTTGGGCGGCAGCAGGATGGGGGTCCTGGTCAGCACTGCAGCTGGTGCCATCGGGGAGTGGACCAAATGGACTCATGAAACAGACCCCGGAGTTCCCAGCAGTGGATAAGGTCCTGTAATCGCTTCCATGTGGATGGAGCCTTGTGGCCACCTAGGACCCAGTGGGAATCCACGTAGCAACTCTGAAGGGCAGAGGATAGCGCAAAGCAGCCCAGACAGGACACTGACCACCCCACGCATCCCAGGGGAGTCTTCACTACTGGTCATCCAAAGACAGCAAGGGGGCAGCTGCATCCAACAGCCAAAAACCCAGGAGGACCTCAGCCCTCCAACGAGAACATGGAGGACACCTCCCTTGCCCGCCCCGAGAAAAATGGAAATCGAGGCAAGAAAACACGCCCGTCCGTCGATCTGCCCTACAGAAGATACAGAGAGATAGAGCCATGTTAGTCTGTAACTTTAAAAAAACAATGAAGGGTCCTGTAGCACCTTAGGGTACGTCTACCCAGCAGTGTTATTTCTCAATGACACAGACACAACAAGCAGCTATTTCAACATAATGTCAAAACAACGGTGAACTGGAGGACTTCTTACTCCAACTGCTGCAACCCTCACTGTACGAGGAGTAAGGGAAGTTGGAGGAAGAGGGCTCTTCCTTCAGCTTCCTGCTGTGTAGACAGCGCCACAAGCCGAAATAAGCTATGTCGACTTCAGCTACGCGCTTGACGAAGCTCAAGTTGTGTAGCTTATTTCAGCGTTAGCCCCTGCTGCGTAGACATGCCCTTAGAGACTAACTAAAATATGTATCGTATCGTGATCTTTCATGGGCAAAAAGCACTTCCTCCTCTCTCATTTGAGGAAGTGGAGTTTACCCACGAAAGCTCATGATACTACATATATATATTTTTTATGTAAAAACTTAAGAGACTTGGTTAGTCTCTAAGTTGCTACAGGACTGCTCATTGTTCTACTGCAGAAGATACAGGCAGAAAAGTCTTGCAGCCTCCACAAGCCCCCAGAATTGATCCGCTCTGGTCTCCTATTCAAACCAACCCTTCCTGCTGCCTGCCTACTCCGCTCTGGCCTGCCTCGCAAGCAATGACACCCCTCTTCCCCCCGCCATAAGCCATTGGAGCTGTTCCTTCACGCTTTCAACCAGGATCCAGCCTGCACGGCCAGGCTCTGCTGCCAGCTCCCCCATTGCTCACCGAGGCCAGCGTCCCCTCTCTGCTGCATGACCAGCGCTCGCGCAAACTCAACTCACCCGGGCGTCTTTCCTTTTCTCCTCCCAGAAGGTCGCTGGAGGCCTTTAGCTCCGCGTGGCTCAGTGGCAAATCGAAAACGAAATCCTGAGTGCTGGGATGGCTTGGTTTACAGAGTGAGGGCAAATGCAAGGAGGATGGTTTTAGAGTCATTATCTCACAAGAGGCTGCTTTCAGCATCTCTGGCCCTGGGCAGGGGAAATGTTCCTGATAACAATATTTAGCAGAGAAATAGTGCCTTGCAAACGGTGCTTTAGACAGTGAGGTCATCGCTAGCCCCATTTTACAGATGGAAAAACTGAGGCACGGAGAGGTGAAATGATTTGCCCCAGGCCAGAGCGTTACAGCTGGGATTAGAACTCACAAAATATTGGCGCCTACCCTCAGGCTCCATGCAGTAGCCCATGCTGACAAAATCCCTCCCCTCCGCCTTAAAAAAATACTGTGGTAGTAGTAGTTGTTCCAAGCACAGCATCTTTTTGAAGATCTTTTGGACCATTACCACAGGGCCTATAAGTACTGGCTGGGATTTTCCAACGCACCTTAGTGTTTTAGGAGCGCTCAGATAAAGGATGGTGATTGAGATACATGGGTGCTCCTAAGGCACTTAGGCATTTTCGGAAATCCCATTCACCTGCTTTAAGGGGAGCAGGATTAAGCCCTTAACGTGAAAATTAAAAGCTAGCAGCACCACCTTCATCTCTTGCACGTGGGTGAAAAAGTCTCATTTCACCCAACAGCGATTCCTGTGGCCACCTGACCAGGAGAACATGGGGGTACCGTGGAGCCCTGCGGATGGAGGGAAACCTCCCCACCCCAAAAGAAAAACACCCTGAAGTTCAAACCAAAGGAAACCAAGTTGAAATACCTGCTTCTCTACGAGGCAGCCGAGAACCACTGCTAGCTAGCAACGCGGCTACATCTGTCTCATGTAACATCTACCACCGCGGAGTGAACTGGTGATCATCAGGTCCCACCTGGAGTCACACCAAGAGCATCCAGAGCCCACGCCATACCAGGAAGGCAGTGCCTGCGGTACAGGGGGTTCTATGGATGGACTCCTATGAAATACCGCACATCCTGTGTTCAGAGCACAACACTGTCAAAGGCGCGTTTGTTTAGACAGCCAGACTATCTGCTCAGGGAACTGCTGGCACTGCAGCGTGGAATACAGGGAAACATTCCAGGGCATGGAAAAAGGGAAACAAGATAGAAAAAAAAAAATATCGGAATGGTCCACAAATCCGGTCAATTCCCCCCTCCCACCAAAGAACAGACCCACTGCAAGAGCAGTAGCCACTCTTATATTCGCCACCGGAGAGTAAAGACACCCTGCAAAAGAGGTGGTAAATGTGGACGTACTTTCACAGTACTGAGATCCATGGGGTGTTTGATAATATCATGATAGTCATGTAATTCCAAGGCCTCTGCATCAACAGGCTTGTAAAACGGCCATGCGTAGGCTGCGTGTTTCTTAGAAAGCATCTCCTTGAGGATGCTGTCACAGTACTTGAGGTGCTCAGAGAGTTTGCCCTTCTTCCCCGCATGCTGGGGGACCTCCCCATCTTCGAGGTCTTTCTTTGGTGGTTTGATGGGCCGGCCGCCGCTCTCCCGGCGAGCGACCACTTTCGCCTGCTTGGGATCAGAGAGGGGGGTGGGCGACTCGCTCCGGCTGGCAGTGATGGCGGAGGTGGTGGGCGTGGTTGTGTCTGCTTTTCGCTTCACTCCCTTTTTCTGAAACAAAGAACGGGGTTGTAAAGACGGGTCCCACCATCAGACTGTGCTAACAAGGGCCACTCCGGGGGCGGATCTTGTTTGACTGACATAACCGATCCTCACCACGTGGCCTGATTCTCCTCTTATGCTCCGTCTACATTGCATCCCTCCTGTGCAAAAGCCTATGCAAATGAAGCATGGAGTAGCATATTGCCACGCTTCATTTGCATAATTAATTAGGGGCTGTTTTTGCTCAAGAAGCTTTTGCGCAAAACCCCCCTCTTGCACAAGAGCCGTCCTTCCTGAAAAAATGAGGAAGAACAGCGCTTGCGCAACAGGGTGTAGATGGCTCCTTTTTGCACAAAAGCCTCTGGCGCAAAAACGGCCCCTAATTAATTACTCAAATAAAGCGCGGCAATATGCTAATCTGTGCTTCATTTGCATAGGCGTTTGCACAAGAGGGATGCAGTGTACACGTAGCCTATTTCAAGCTCAGGTTTACATGGCTGTAGTTCCACTGACTGTAATGGGAGTTGTCCCTGAGTACGACTGATGTGAGAGGAGAATCTGGCCTTTGGGGAGCAGCTCCCCTGAAATCCATGGGGATTGACACACAAGCAAGTGTCAGGTGTGCAGGATCGAGCCCTACTTTGTGAGCTGACACAACTTACTCATCCAGGGCCCAACTGCTCACCCTGCTGAGCCACTGTTCACGTGATAAGTCCCACCGTAGCCAACGGAACAACTCAGGCCGGGAACTCCTTATGAATGGGATTAAGAGTTCCACAATCTGGCCCCAAAGAAATAAAACCTATCCAGTGCATATTAATCCCTGCATTGTGATCCTCTCTACCAAATTCCTCCCCGTTTCTCCAGGGAAGGTCTTTTGCCTCTGAAAAACTGGCTTTCTATTGAAAGCTGGGGGAAAATTGTGATTTCAGGTCAAGGCGATTTTGCAATGTTTCCCACCCCGCAAAGCAGTCTCAAAACTCATTTTTTGACTAGCTTCTTCAGTGAAATAGACTTAAAATACCCAGGTGAGTGCATCCCAAATAAAAGAGACTTCTGTGCAGGGAGGTTTTAGCTCAAACAAGATCTGCATTACTAACTCCCAAATTCAAGGGTTAATTCCATGGGAAATAAAAAAGAAACCCCCAGACAATAAGCTCCATGCCTATATTAACAGATGCAACCTCATCTGATCTTATGGCAGAAATCTGTGAATTTATGGTAGAGGTTATTCTGAAGTGCTAATGCCCTCTTTGGCAGTAACCACGTGAAGAGGATTTAAATTATAGCCATGCCATTTACGGTATTACAACTTATTTGTGTTTGTATATTGCTTAGCACAATAGGGCCCCCAATCTTGATTAGGGTGCTACTATGATATACAATAGCAGTATCTTGCTCTTCTCTAGTGCTTTTTATCAATAGATCTCACAGAGCTCTTACGCAAAGGAGGTGACTATCATTATCAGTTTCACACCTACACAATGAGAAGTGACTGTCTAGGAAGAAGCACTGCAGAAAAGGATCTAGGGGTCATAGTGGACACAAACTAAATTTGAGCCAAGAGTGTGATCCTGTTACAAAAAAAGCAAACATGATTCTGGGATGCATTCACAGGAGTGTTGTGAGTGAGACACGAGAAGTCATTCTTCCGCTCTACTCTGCGCTGATTAGATCTCAATGGAGTATTGTGTCCAGTTCTGGGCACCACATTTCAAGAAAGATGTGGAGAAAAAGGAGAAAGTCCTGAGAAGAGCAACAAGAATGACTAAAGGTCTAGAGAACATAAGCTATGAGGGAAGACTGAAAGAATTAGGCTTGTTTAGTTTGGAAAGGAGGAAACCGAGAGGGGACCTGATAGCAGTTTTCAAGTATCTAAAAGGGTGTCACAAGGAGGAGGGGGGAAAATTGAGGACAGGACAAGAAGCAATGGGCTTAAACTGCAGCAAGGGAGGTTTAGGTTGGACATTAGGAAAAACTTCCTAACTGTCAGGGTGGTTAAACACTGGAATCAATTGCCTAAGGAAGTTGTGGAATCTCCATCTCTGGAGATATTTAAGAGCAGGTTGCATAGGCATCAATCAGGGATAATCTAAAGTGGTGCTAGGTCCTGCTGTGAGGGCAGGCCACTGGACTGGATGACCTCTTGAGGTCCCTTCTAGTTCTAGTGTTCTATGATTCTATCCCCATTCTACAGATGGGGAAACTGAGGCATAGAACGAGGCTGTGATTTGGCCAAGATCTCCTCCAGCAGGCCAGCGGCAAGGCCGGGATTAGACTTTTCTATCCCTTAATGTCCTAATCCAGAAATCCCTGTTCTTTATACCGGGGATTTTCAATCTTTGGGTGGCGATTCATCATGGTAAGCCATTGGCTGGCCTGCGAGACGCTTTGTTTATCTGAGTGTCCGCAGGCATGGCCGCTTGCAGCTCCCAGTGGCCACGGTTCGTCTTCCCCGGCCAATGCAGCTGCAGGAAGTGGCCAAGCCACCACTTCCTGCTGCTCCCATTGGCTGAGAACGGCAAACGGCAGCCATTGGCTGCTGCAAGCGGCCGTGCCTACAGACACTCGGATGCACAGAGCATCTCGCAGCCGGCCAGCAGCTAACCCTGATGAGTTGCCACCCAAAGTTTGAAAAACCCTCCTCTGCACAATGCGCTGAACACCCGTTTTAATGTTAAATCGCCAGCAGAAAAAATACCTTGTGTCACTACACTAGCATTTTTACCCCATTGTTTTTTCTTTAATAAATGATATTCAGCCAGCAGCTGTTTGGAGCAGCAATTTAATGTACTGGGAAATGAAATGAGCCAATTAAATAGTAAAACACAGCTGGGGAATTGGGAGCAGAACTCAATCAGTAAGAAAGACACAACTTACTGGTCCCATTCATATTTCTCAGGTTCCTGAAGCAGGAAGCTGCTTTCAATATCTTCCAGGCAGAGTGCCCACCTGTGATCTTTACTGTCACAAAATTCCCACCTACCTCCCTGGAGGCAGGAACACAAGATCAGGCCTTTCCAGCTTTGTTCTGTGCCCGTTTGAAAAGAACAGGGAGCTGTACGTTCCATGGGCCTGCTCTTGCAAACTGGAAAGGAACAGTCCTACCAACATCTATGGGACAACTGGTGAGAGGCGGGGGAGTTCTTAAGGGTGGCACGGGCCACGGCCCTAAGCCGTCCAAAGCTTTTATGTTCACGCAGCTGCCAAGCTGGCTAATTGGCGGCGATATCTGGGCAGCTGGAAAGTCAACTGTGCAGGGAAATAACTCAAGTTTCTAACCAGCGGCTGCCGGTTTCAAAACGCGGTCCCGCAAAGAGAAAGAAGGTTGGGCGCTTTGTTTACCTTGACGACAGGTGGGGTGGGAGGAACCACGGTCATAATCGGAGCAGCAGGAGGAGGGGCAGCGGCAGCGGGAGGGGCAGCGACAGACGGGACGTTTGCCGTGATGGTTGGCACAGGCGTGGCAGCGATCACTGGGGTCTGAGAGACAGCCGGAGGGACGTTCTGGAAAGGGGCCGACGGGGCGACAGAGGAGACGGCGGTGGCTTGCTGCACTCCTTTAAAGCAATACAATTAAATGCATGAGACACAGCCGCTGATTCGGGAGTCGCTCAGCTCGATAGACCACGAGACGCTGTTGCCTCTGGACTTTACAGGAGTGACCCTCTGGACCGTTCCACTCTGCGTGCGGCGTCTGGACGCCTGTACATGAGCAAACGTCTCCAAGCCCTGAGTGTCAGCGGCAGTGTACTGGGACACGTGGGTGGAGGGCAAAGGTAGGACTGGGGGAGGCAATGCCCCGATCCTGCCCCTTTGCCCAGTCCCCGCTCCCATGGGAGCCAACCCCCCTCACCCAGCACCATGGGGAGGTGGGGCAGCAAGCAGGCCCTGAGACAGGAAGGATGGGCACTCAAGGGCAGCAATAATCCGCCCCCAGGATTTGTTCTGGGGGCCGAGAATGGGAGGGGCCAGGCTGGCAGTTTGGGAAAGCAATGCCTTCCCCCTGCCTATGATACCCGCTGCCCCTGGTGGAACAGTTTTTATTTCCCCTTTCCAACCTCTCTCAGAACGAGCCTGTGTTCAGCAAAGGAGGAAACAGATGGGAGGGGAGCAAGATTTTCTAGAAAGGACTCTGAGCTATTCCCAGCAAGAAAACCTCCATTGGCTTCAGTCTGCTTTGCTACTGCTCTGCATAGTTAGTAAGAAATACCCCTAATCTATAGGGCTGGGCAATCTCCAGATTTTTCCAGTCACTGGCAATCCTGCCCTTCCCCACCCCCAAAAATGTCAATTTTAGATCTCATTGAAAAGTTGACCAAAAAGTCAATTGAAAAGTTGACCAAAATATTCACGTCAAGGCACACAAAATGATTCGTTTCAATTTTAAACGAATTATATTTAAATTTTAAATATTGGATTTGTTTTTTAAGAAAAGGAAATGTTGAACAAAAAGAGCGTTTCAACCAATTTTAAATATTGGATTAAGAAAAGGAAATGTTGAACAAAAAGAGCTACCTCGAACTACAACATTGAAACAATTCATTTAAAAAATGTCAAAATGAAATGTTTGCCTTTCTCAGAATGTGCTTGTTTTGGGGGGTTTTTTTTCCAACCAAAGGAACTG